TAGAACAATTAATTAGTGGAACAGCTTGCCTCCAGAAGTTGTGAATGCCCCAACACTGGAAGTCTTTAAGATGTTGGCTAGCCATTTGTCTGAAATGGTATAAGGTTTCCTGCCTAGGCAGTGGGTTGGACTAGAAAACCTCCAAGGTCCTTTTCAACTCTGCTATTGTATTGTATTGACAGTTGTATGTGCAAGAATCATTTCTAAGTCAAATATTTATGGAGATTGTCAATCATGGTTGTCCCAAAGGTGCATTTATAAGTCACTTTTTTTCAGTACAGTTGTATTCTTTGTATGGTTTTTAAATAAAGTCATGAATCAAGAACTACCTGTAATTTCCTCCTATTTTACTTTAGGGTTATGCAGAACACTTGATTAGAAAGGCAAAATATATACTAAATTTGGATGGTTTAGAGAGCCACTTCCCCCCATAAAGCAATTGGTGAATTCTGGAATTCTGCAAATTCTTAGAAATTGTCAGGATTGGGAGAAAAGGGCTTATCCAAAATTAACAAAACTAGCTTTTTTTTTCTGGGGTCTTTTTATGTGTTTTATCTTATTACAAATGAGAATTTCTCCAACAAAAGCACCTGTGTTGGAATGGCAGGCATTGCTTCATAGAACTCCTCCAGAGGTTATTGTTAAAATCAAAATGGTGCTGATCTCGCGGAAACACTGCCGGTAGTATAGGGGTGGGCTACTGGGGCAATCATCTAGCTAGGATTCTGCCCGGTTTGGCAAACTGCCAAATGCCACCCCTGGCTGGCCACGCCCACCTCACCACATTCATCTGACCCCACCATGTCCCTCCCAGGAGTCTCCACGCAGCCCACTCATCATGTCAGGTAAGTACAGGGCCCACGCAGAGGCTTCGGGAGGGGGAAAATGGGCCTATCGGAGGTTCCACAATTCCAAAAGAGGGCCTATTTCGGGCCTCCAGAGAGTCTCCAGAGCCCGGGAGAAGCAGTTTTCACCCTCCCAGAGGCTTACAGAAAGCCTAAAGAGCCTGGGAAGGGCGAACCACCACCGCCCGTCATGATGCAGGGGGCCACCTAGGCCATGCCCACCATAGCCATGCCCACCCAGCAATGGAGCAACGAATCAATTTCTGCAATTTTTGAAGCCCACACCTGCTGTAGTGTCTAATTGATATGTGTTTCTTTAAAAATGGAAAGAAAATGTCCACTATTGGAAATTTAACAGAAAGATGCCATAAATAAAGCCACAGAGCTTCAGGATAACTTCAAATAAGGAGGATAATTTGCAAAATGCCCTTTTTCAGAATATGTTCATTTCTTGAGAGTAAGGATTTTTGGAGACTGCATTATATTGAGAACCAATTTGATATAGAGGATAAGGGCCGAGAGTAGATACTAGGAGATCATGAATTTTAGTCTTACCTTAGGCACAAAACTTGCCTTAGGTCAGGAGTGTCAAACCTGATTTATTGAGGGCCGCAACAGAGTTGTGTTTGATCTCAGAGGGGGGGAGGGGGCATGGCCAGGGGGTGTGGCCAGGGGCGTGGCCAGTTTGACATCATTTGTATCTGTGGTGGCCAAGTACTAAGGCAGGACTTCTCTCAGACCCTCCCTCCCTTTCACTATAATCTCCTTCCTACCTTCCTTTTCTTCTTTTTCCTTCACTCTTCATTCTCCTTTCTTCTTCCTTCCCTTCTTTCCTTATTTTTCCTTCCTTGCTCTCTTATCATCTTTCTTTTTTTTTCTTTGTTTTTCTTCTTTCCCTTTCTCCTTTCCTGTTCCTTCATGGATGCTCAAATGCAAAAGGGGAAAATTTGATTTTGACACTCCTGCACTAAAGCCTTCATATATTTCTAATCTTTAAAAGGCAAGAAACTGTGCCATCAGTTTTCAGTATCCATGGTCAGAGACAGCTCCTAAGCTTGCTGAGGGGCCTTAGGCCTACAAAGTGTCTCCTTTTGTTTAGAAGTAATCCCCCCCCCCAAAAAAAAAACTTTCCTGTGAATTGATGTGACTTTCGGCCTGAAAAATATTTGTTGGCTATAAAGTTTTAAAATGTAAATAGAAAAAGAATCCTGCATTCAGGTAGCATTTTCTCTAGGCAACCTACTTCTCCAATGTTTCCAAACATGAATAGAAGCATCTGCCAAAAATGCAGAGCTCTAAATATAGACTTTGCTTTTTAGCATAAGGAAAATGGGCTATCAGATTTATATAGCTTTTGAGATTTAAATATTTCTAAACCCTCTTAGGCACATTATAGCAATAAATGTCATAGTTGGGAAATATCATAATATAATATCAATAAAACTCACAAAAGCATAGCATGAAAGCATACTAATAAACCACCATTACTTAAACTTCTTGCCACTGCATTAAAAGCAGAGTAATAGCCAAAACCTAAAAAAATAACAATAAAACTTATTCAAGTATTCATAAAACCCATTACTCTATATACAGTTAAGGTGTCCGCGTAACTGATCAAACCTTCTGAAATATTATTAAGAGAATATCTGTAGCTCAGCATTGAATTGAGGAGTTCTTGGTATTCTCTGAGTATAGTTGTTTTCTTGCAGAAGTTTCATTACCCAACTAGGCAACATCATCATTGCACTGAAAATGATAGATTTCATAAAGGTTTGTTATCTGCGCCAGAGGTGGTATTCAGCAGGTTCTGAGCAGTTCTAGAGAAGTTCTGGTAGCGGAAATTTTGAGTAGTTCAGAGAACCGGTAAATACCACCTCTGACTGGCTCCACCCCCATCTATTTTCTACCTCCCAAGTCCCAGCTGATTGGGAGGGAATGGGGATTTTGCAGTAACCCTCCCCTGGAGTAGAGAGGGAATGGAAATTTTACAGTATCCTTCCCCTGTCACGCCACGCCCATCATGCCATGCCCACAGAACAGGTAGTAAAACTTTTTGAACCCCACTACTGATTAACACAGTATCTTTTAGTAGTAGTAATAAAAATTAAATTTGTTTAGGCACAAGGCCATATCAGAATACAAAATATTAAGACCATATACTATATACAGTAACCTATTAGATACTTAACTCCATTACTTTTTTAAAAAAAAATAGCGTTGGTAGCCTATTTTTTAACAATATTAGAGAAATCTAGATAGCATTAAATTAATTTTGCAAATGTGCTAAGCCTAATAGTGAGTTGTAGCAATAAAGTGTAATTTATTTTAATTAAAATAAATACATGTCTTCCTGGGTCCAATTTCTTTTTGCCTTCATCAAAAACTTTCAGGATAGAGATAAAACTGTTTGAAAAAATATTATTTAATTATTATGAGAACTGATTCTGATTGTGAAGCTGCAGGGCCATAAACTGTTACAATAACATTGTATGGGTCCTAAGTAACAAGCTGTTCCACGATGTATCATATATTAGCCACAGAACATTTTAACTGATATTCTCCAGAATTTCAAAGTTTCAAGTATCTTTGTTGGGAAAGAGAGAAATTAATTCATAAACTGATCAACAGCATTTACCAAATGTCACTTAAAAGTGAGCATAAGCAATGTAATCACTAATAGCTTTGCCTGAAGTAGAAGGTGTCAGAGGTATGATTCATCAAAGTGACTTGGTACATAACTTTTGCTCACGTGTTCATCCCTTCGATATTTAGGTAAGTAATTAAAATTATATTGGGGTGAATTCATATAGCACTCATAGTGGTTTGTTATTTGTTCTGAATGCAGTTGAGATCTCTAGTTGACTTCTGTTTTGCTGCTCTCAAAATCTTTTAACGCTTTCCACGTTGACTGTCTCTACCATTGCTAAGAAGACAAAGTCCAAAAGAAGCCAGAGTTGTTTGTCTATTTGTTTGTTTTGTTTAGCAAGACGGACTTTTCTGTCATAGGCCATCCTTTGTGGAACATCTTGCCCCAGAAGGGAGGAAAACTTGCCCCAAATATTCTAGTCTTCTGCAAATCTTGCTGTGCAGCCATGAGGCTGGCTGACCCCATGAGAACCCCCCTCCCTCACTGCCTATATTAACAACACTTAGTCTCC